TGCTCTGATGAGTCTCCATTTCTGCTGACACATTCGGATGCTCGGCTCACAATTTGGCCTCAACATCATGAAAGCATGGATCATCCTGCCTTGTATCAGCGGTTCAGGCTGGTGGTGGTGGTGTAATGGTGTGGGGGAGATTTTCTTTGGGTCCATTAGTACCAATTGAGCATCAACGCCACAGCCTACCTGAGTATTGCTGCTGACCATGTCCATCCCTTTATGAGCACAGCGTCTCCATCTTCTGATGGCTACTTCCAGCAGGATAACGAAGCATGTCGTAAAGCTCAATCATCTCAGACTGGTGAACATCATGATAAGTTCACTTTACTCAAATGGCCTCCACAGTCACCAGAGCTCAATCCAATAGAGCAGCTTTGGGATGTGGTGGAACGGGAGATTGGCATCATAGATGTGCAGCCGACAAATCTGCAGCAACTGTGTGATGCTCTCATGTCAATATGGAGCAAAATCTCTGAGGAACATTTCCAGTAGCTTGTTCAATCTCTGCCACCAAGGATTAAATCAGCTCTAAAGGCATAGGGGGGTCCAACCCGGTTCTAGCAAGGTGTACCTAATAAAGTGGCCAGTGAGTGTATATCAATAATTCATACATCTTTAAGTTGGTGAACTGTAGCTCCAGTTCAAATAAAGCATTGCTATAACTTTCCGCTGTGGGTAAAGTTCTGAAATCTTGCTCTTTGCATGTATTTGATTATGTTGTGATTTCTTCAAACGCTGGGTTGGTTCCTCCATTTCTATTTATTTGCCTTCCCATTGTGGCATTTCTGTAAGTGCAAGTGTTAATTTTGAAGCTTGTATTACCACAGGATCATGTGTAAATATAATGCAATCACATGATTTATGTGGATTATGTCAGTAGTAAAACCCATAAATGTAAGTCCTGTCTCAATTAATGAAGACTTATGGGCTTTCTTTAAACACCACATCTATAAATACGGTCAGCTGCCTCTGTAATGTACACATATGTGATTTCCCGGTCACAGCGCCAGACGTCTGTCAGTCCCACAGGCGTTGTGTGTGTGTTTGTGGTGTGTTCATACTTGGAGATAGTACACATGACTGTGGTGTGACGTTCCCTGACTGACAATATGAGGAATCCTGACTGTTCAGACACACTCGCATGTGTTTGTTATCCTGTGGGAACGCCGTCCCACACAAGTGGACTTCATCCTTCCCTGAAGGCATAAATATAGAGGGATTCAAGGGCTTTGTTTTGTTTGTGTGTGTGTGTGTGTGAGAGTACTGTTCATAAAAATAAATCACTCTGATTTCATTCTGAACAGTGAGAGTTTGTGGATTTACCAAAGACGAGCTGACTGGAAATATCGGCTGTTAAATTAACTAAAATTGTGACTAAAATGCAGGATATTTATTTTAAAAATGCCTTTAATGTTAAGTGTTTAAACAAATAAACTGTAAATATATACCATAAAGGCTTTTAAAACACATGAGGGGAAGTAAACAGTGTGTAAATGTACATTTTTCCCTTTAAAGATCAAATCCAGGCTCTTAATTAATTGATTTGAAGCTGTATTTCGTGGTCTGATGTTTGGATCTGGCCTCATTAATGCTGGGCGTTGCTGAGTGAAATATCTGTGGATGTTCACTGTTCCACCTGCCCGAGCCAACTAAACTATGATACGACTATAACTACGACTGCGACCGTAATCACAGGTCACACTCAATTAGCACCTGGCTCGCTCTCTTTCTCTCACACACACACATGCCAGATGCTCCGTTTTGAGGACAATATGGAGTTGGAGCTGACTCGACTGGCGTGATGCCTGAATAGGGTGTGTAACTCAATATAACGAGACCCGTGCCAACCTGGAAAACTGCCTGGCAGAGCTGGAGCTGCCCGAACACACACACTAAACATTCATTCACTTTCTTTTCAGCTTAGTCCCTTTATTAATCAGGGGTCGCCACAGCGGAATGAACCGCCAACTTATCCAGCATATGTTTTATGCAGATGATGCCCTTCCAGCTGCAACCCAGCACTGGAAAACACCCATACACACGTATTCGTTACGAACAATTTAGCTCACCCAATTCACCTATACATGTGTTTGGAGCACCTGGAGGAAACCCACGCCAACACGGAGAGAACATGCAAACTCTACACAGAAACACCAACTGACCCAGCCGAGGCTCAAACCAGCGACCTTCTTGCTGTGAGGGGAACGTGCTACCCACTGCTATTGTTTTATAATCCATAATTACAACAATCCGTTGTGTGCCTTTCCATTCTGGCTAACCATTTGACCCCAGTTATTATATTTATGAGCGCATGTTTAAACAAAAGTGTTCATTTATTGGTTCCATTGCCTTTTCGGTTTCATTGCCGTAATTCTTGTGTACAGAAAGCTTGTAAATATTTTCTCAGTGTATTTGGCATGGAGTCCTGCAGTTCTGGGTGCTGAGAACTGAGCTAAACCTTCACCCCTCCGCCAAACACATGCGTATGTTGAGGAAACATTTGGGCAACGTGTTTGTTTTCATCTGGACTGTGCACAATGCATTCGACTGAAATATAAAAATCCGACAGCGCCAGATTTGTCATCTGAAATGTACCCAGAGCAACACATTTCATATTTTGATCAATTGTAGAGAGCTCCCTCTAGTGGGTTTGTCATCTGTAATGATTACAAAAGTATTTAACGATTCGCAAAAACATACACTGAGGCACGACTTTCCAATGAGCGTGTGCTGGGAGTCTGTCTGTTGGGGGTCCCAATAGATTGCAGTACATGAGAATCTATAATGCATGCGCCAAGCGAAGCTCGCATAGGGATTAACAGATTTACTGTCTTGCTGTTTTTACAGTCGAGTGCAGGAGATGCAGTGAGTAACATCCACACCGCTCTAATATAGAAACATCTCGATGATGTTTTCCTAATTTCTAGAGACCCTCTAAGAAAAACAGCCACACACGCGGCGGCCCTGCAGCTAATTTTCAGATATGAACCTGCCCCGCGGATTTATTTTTCCTCTCAGCTCCCTCACAAGACAAACGGCCCACACACTAGTTCTGATGGGAACGCAGAGTTTGTTTTCAAGTTTCAGGTTATCCTCTGAGCACAGACTCTGCTCCGAAATATTAGGCAATTCATAAAGAGAAAGATAGATGAAGAAAGAGGAGCATCTCCTGCAACACTGTCAACAATACCACAACATTAGAGCAGCTCTCAGACATTTACACCACATTTTACACCTCTTACACTGATAAATTAAGGCTTGAGAGAGAACTTCAGTCTGATATCAACAGCAGCCAAGTCATAAACACAGAGAGTCAGCCAGTGGACAACACCAGTCAGAGACATTAACAAACCATCTGAACCAATGTACAGTAGTCTATTGTATTTATTATTTAATAGAAAGGCACGTAACCATTACAAATGAAGTCAGATGTTAACGTGACTAAACTGTTCCTCTTTTAGATGAGTTAGGATGATCAAATGTGTTTCTGTTCTGCTTAACAGCAGAATAATGAGAGATATGTGTTGAGAAATTGTTTTAACTCTTCTTGAAAGTCAAGTTTACACACAGTAAGATTATTCTGGCACTGAAAAAGCTCAGATGATGATGTCAGGCTTTTGGAAGTTTCTGATTGGCTGATTGACAACATTTGAGTTAATGTGAGGCACAACTGTAGAATAGTATTGAAGGAAAAGCTCAAACACACTGCTTCCCTGTGTGACAACATGGGAAAATCAACAAGCCAGAATCAACAACAAAGCCAGATTAACATTAGCTGAATGACACTGGTAAAATAAGAGTAATGTTTGGAGACATGTCCTGTGCTCTGATGGAGCTAAGATTGAACTGTTTGGCCATTATGACCAGTGTTACATCTGGAGGACAAAGGGGAAAGCGCACAAGCCTAGAACACCATCCCAACTGTGCAGTATGGGGGCAGCAGCATCATGTTGTGGGGCTGTTCTGCTGCAGGAGGGACTGGTCCACTTCACAGCATAGATGGCATCATGAAGACAGAACAATATGGAGAAATACTGAAGCAACATCTCAACACATCAGCCAGGACATTACAACTTGGCCACAAATGGCTCTTCCAGACAGACCATGAGCCTAAGCACACTGGCAAATTAGTCAAATGTGCTTTAAGGACAACAGAGTGAATGTTTTGGAGTGGCCATCACAAAGCCCTGATCTCAATCCTATAGAGAATGTGTGGGCAGACCTGAAAAAGCTTGTGCGAGCAAGACAGCCAACAAATCTGACTCAGTTACAGCAATTCTGTCAGGAGGAATGGACCAAAACTCCTGCAAACTATTGTGAGAAGCTTGTGGAAGGACACCCAAAACACTTGACCAAAGTTAAACAGTTTAAAAGCAAAGCTAAACAATACCAAGGAAATGTGTGACAACTTTCGACTGTCTAGAAATTAATCAACAATTTCTCTCATTATTCTGTCATTTAGCAAATGTAAATCTTTTATGTAATCCTAACAGACCTAAAGCAGTAAACATTTAGTTTGATTTACCATCAGACATTTAAAAAATGGTTCTGTTTCGTATTTTAGAGTGTATGTACACTTCTGCTTTCAACTGTAGGCACATCACTTTATGATTCTATTCATTATTTATGTATTCTGCAATGCTTTGGCAATCTTGAAATAGCAGATATAACAATTCCCGGGCTCCTAAAGAAAAGCGAATATATGTAAGAATTGTGATAGATCAAATAGAGGATGGGGCACACTTTCTTATTTTCAGCCCCAAATACAAAACAACACAAGAAATACTTTCCCCAGATTTAAAATATGAAATAATTCCTTCTTTAATTTAAATGACTCTGACAAACTCAGAATATTACATATTCTATACATATCTAATGCTATACAAAATGTCATGCCCTTAAAGCAAACTGAACTTGAACTGAGAGAGAGAGAGAGAGAGAGAGAGAGAGAGAGAGAAGCAGATATTTTGGCTCATAATGAAGAGCAGATGGTTTACCTTCACTGGTCGCCGCATTCTTGTGAGATTTGCTGGGTGTGTGTTCAGTGCTGGAGCTCACGTCAGACGATATACTGGAGCTGCCTTTGCCTAGATCACAAGACAACAGACCTTTATCATCAAACATACACCTACAAATACATCCACACCTTCTTCAGCTTGCCTTTTTTAATATGTTATGATCATGTCTTTTAGTTTCAAACACATTTAGTTTGATCATGGCCATCAAGATTTCCTCTGAAGACGTACTTTTCCCCCAGTATTTATTCCTCATTTTGGCAAAATTTTAATTGAAGGGGTGTTCATAATCCCTTTTCATTATGACCTTAATGACATGACATGAATATGGAGATTATATTTATGCTTATGACAACAGTTATTATGAGTCATTTGCTCTATTGAGACATTTTAAATGCAAAGATCACACTGTTTATGACATCCTCATCTTTGTCACGACAACTTGACATTACCAAGACAACAAAACTTGTCATAAATCTGCCATAAACATGATTTTCATTACAAAAGTGTCATGAATATAATAACAGCTTCATTTATATATATATATATATATATATATATATATATATATATATAAATAAATAAGCTTAATGTCATTATATTATCATTAAATATTAATGAAACTATTCTAAAATGATTCGACAGTGTAATGACAGCTTTAATGAGACGTTTTAATGACAGTGACAACTTAGTCAAAAAATTTTCATGATAATCATGTTTATGACAGATTTATGACAAGATTTGTTGTTTTATAAAGTTGTCATGACAGATAAAAGCCAGTTGTTTTGTATTTGTTTGTCAAGTGCTATTAACTACTGTGTTATTACTTGCCTAATATTAAGATTTTAACTGTTCATTAGTTGTTTTAGTGTATGATCATATTCTACATCCCCTAAAAAGTTACTCAAAGGGGAGTTATTATGCAAAAATCACTTTTATATAAGGGGTTATGTGGCAACAGTGTGTGAATATATCCTGCCTCTAATGATAAAACTTTATCTTTTATAATCGCACTTATAGAAAAATAAAGAAAACAAACTCAGTGATGCCCTTTGACTGACATTCTCCCTTTGTATGATGTCATCAGAGGGGGAAAGCCCCGCCCACAAGTGTCCATCTGTCCCTCATTAGCATAAACATCAGGCCTGAGTGAGAAGCAGTCGTCTGTCCATTAGCCACTAGAGTGTGCTGAAGATAATGTCAGCATAGACTCAGAGGATTAAAGATGTGGAGTTTTAGATGAGCAGCGACAGGAGCTACAAAATATACAAAATGTGCATAAAAACAGGTGGATAGAAACAGCTAGAGATAACGCTAGTCTTGCTTTCAATCTGTCGCTTTAAATTTAAAGTGACAGTCAATTCGCAAGTATAAATCACATGATCTTGCTTTTGAGATCACACTTAACGCATTGTGCACTGTAAAAACTGATTAGTTACTTAAAGTGAGTAAACCAATTGCCTTAAAAGTTACAAGTTGACTTTACAAAAATAATATAAGTAAAGTACACCCCTTTCCCAGAGATTGGTTGCAGCTGGATGGGCATCCGCTGCGTAAAAACTTGCTGGATAAGTTGGCGGTTCATTCCGCTGTGGCGACCCCAGATTAATAAAGGGACTAAGCTGACAAGAAAATGAATAAATGAATGAATGAATGAAGTAAACCCCTTGTGTCTTGAAACTGTTAAGTTGACTGAATTTTTATAATTATGCTAATTGTATTCATTTTTTTTAAAGTCAACTAATCCTTTTTAGGTGTCAGACGATTTTAGCGCGTCTGTTTTCAAATAATTACCTTAATTATCACAATATTACATATTTGGTGCTTCATGAAGTCTATAAAGTCTACACTTACAGCCTGCATTGAATTTAGAAAACACACCGGAGTCTGGAAGAGCAGAGTTATTTTAGTTACGGTCATTGTGCCATAGATACAGAAAAGCTGGAAAAAAACAAATACAATAAAGGTGTATTGAAAAAAAGTTATTAGTTTACTTTTACTATTTTTTTAAAGTAAGTAAATTTAGCATAATTATAAAAATTAAGTCGACTTAACAGTTCCAAGTTGCAATGGGTTTACTTACAGTACATTATTTTTGTGGCTTTTAAGGCAATTGGTTTACTTACTTTAGGCAACTTATCACTTTTTACAGTGTGGATGATTGTCCATGTGCACTGATGAAAATATTCATTTACTGCATTTATTTAAGGTAAGTGGTTGCAAACAATTTATATGGGCTGAATTTAAACAAGCAAATGAAGTTGAGCATTTCTCAATGTAATTAGTCTGTTTAAACTAATTATTTGCAACCACTTACCTTCAAAAACAAAATAGTAAGTTGAACGAAGCATCATTTTTTCAGTGTGTGTGAACGCTGGCGTTTCAATGAAGGGTGGATCTCGACACTTCCCACTGTAAGTCAATATTATAACAGATGCAATAAAAGTGAGATTGGGCATTTGCTCACTCGCTGAAGCATTACTGAAACTCCTCTGCTTCCCAATCCAGCGTGAGCTCTGAGGTTTACATGATTAAACATTACTCGCTGCTCATCAGGAATGCACCGAGGCTGAGCAAAAACCCTTCGCTTTACTTCACGTCTTACTGCCAGTGGAAGAAAACGACAATATCCGTGACTGGAACAATAGATGGAAGAAATGACTGCAGCATCTCCAGTGCTGGCGTGAGTTTGCAGTTTCGCTGTGATCCGCCAAGACAGATTTATATTTCATGCATTAGGATGTATCTGGCACCATTCGAGTGTGCTTGTTACTTGCACAGTTTGTTTAAAGAGACAGTTCACCCAATGAAAAATGTGTATGTAGCAATATTCATTGTGAAATAAAATATGCAAAACAGTGATGGGATATGAAAAATAGCAGTGCATTTCTGCATCTACATTAGCACTTCTGTCACTTACGTGCAAAATGTGGTGCAAAAAGAAAATGAAATGTAAATGATATAATAACTATAGCTGTAATATGCAGGTTGTATACTAATTTAAAGCTTTATAAGTCACATGTGTTTGAACTGTGGGGGAAACCGGAGCAAACACAGGGAGAACATGCAAACTCCACACAGAAACGCCAACTGACCCAGCCATTAGTTCAGTGTTGAGTAGTGACACAGCAGATATGAGTAGTAAATATCTTTCAGCTCTCGATTCTGACCGTGAGTTATGCGATGTCTCTTTTAGCAGGGAAGTAACTCGGCCTCCTCATCCGTTTTGATTAAGCTGAAGACTTTAAGCTTTGTGAAATCTTTGCCTAGCAACATAATAATAACAGCGTTGGTATCTGCTCGTAACTCACAGATCTGCGGATGCAAGAGGAACCGCAGCAGATGTTCAGGCTCACTGATGTCACTCGATCAGAAATCAAGTCAAAATCAGCTTTTTTCAGATGTTAGCATCAGTATGTTAGTCTTAAAGGGCATTCATGATGCAGGATCCACTTTTGAAAGCTGTTTGGAGTCAACATTTTTCGCCCTCGTGTATATTTTTTCTTTATTTTTTCCAGCATTTGCTGAATGTTGAACAGATTCAGGAATTTTCCACAGTATTTCCTCTAATATTTTTTCATCTGGAGAAAGTTGTTTTATTTTGGCTAGAATAAAAGCAGTTCTTATTTGTTTTAATCTCAATATTATTCGCTCCTTCAGCAATATTAGTGTTGGATTGTCTCCAGAACAAACCACTGTTATACAATGACTTGCCTAATTACCCTAACTTTACCCTAATTACCCTAGTGAAGCCTTTACATGTCACTGTAAGCTGAACACTAGTGTCTTGAAGAATATCTAGTCTAATGTTATGTGCTGTCATCATGATGAAGAGAAAATAAATCAGTTTCTTTGCTAAACATGTTTTGTAATAACTGATTAAAAGAAAGGCTTTTACAAGTTTAAAACGTGTGTGTGTGTGTGTGTGTGTGTGTGGGTGTGTGTGTGTGTGTGTGTGTGTGTGTGTGTGTGTGGGTGTGTGTGTGTGTGTGTGTGTGTGTGTGTGTGTGTGTGTGTGTGTGTGTGTGTGTGTGTGTGTGTGTGGGTGTGTGTGGGTGTGTGTGTGTGTGTGTGTGTGTGTGTGTGTGTGTGTATGTGTTTTTGTGACATATCAGGACACAAATCTGTATGAATCTGTATAATAACAGACACAGGTATTACAAAAAGGAGGTGAAATATGAGGACATTGGTGACGTCCTCATTTCTCAAAATGCTTATAAATCCTACAGGATGAGTTTAATCAGAGTAAAGCTGCACACTGTCTCCTGTGATGGTTGTGTTTAGGGGTGGGGTGGGGTGGGGTGAGGGCAGTACGATATACAGTTTGGACTGTATAAAATGAATGGAAACCCATGTAATGTCCCCACTTTTCACAAAATCAAACGTGCCTGTGTGTGTGTGTGTGTGTGTGTGTGTGTGTGTGTGTGTGTGTGTGTGTGTGTGTGTGTGTGTGTGTGTGTACAGCAAACTTTGCAACTGCATTTACAGTTGAAACCAGAAGTTTACGTACACTAAAAAAAGCAACAGAACCATTTTTTAAATGTCTGATGGTAAATCAAACTAAACGTTCACTATTTTAGGTCTGTTAATATTACCTAAGTGATTTACATTTGCTAAATGACAATAATGAGAGAATGTTTTTTGAGAACTTTTTATTAATTCAGTCAGACAGTCTAGACAGTGAAAAGTTGACACACATTTCCTTGGTATTGTTTAGCTTTGCTGTTAAACTGTATAACTTTGGTCAGATGTTTTGGGTCTCCTTCCACAAGCTTCTCACAATAGTTTGCAGGAGTTTTTGGCCCATTCCTCCTGACAGAATTGCTGTAACTGAGTCAGATTTGTAGGCTTCAGATTTTTTTACTCCGCCCCCACACATTTCCTATAGGATTGAGATCAGGGCTTTGTGATGGCCACTCCAAAACATTCACTCTGTTGTCCTTAAAGCACATTTGACTAATTTGTCAGTGTGCTTAGGCTCATGGTCTGTCTGGAAGAGCCATTTGTGGTCAAGTTGTAATGTCCAGGCTGATGTGTTGAGATGCTGCTTCAGTATTTCTCCATGATGTTCT